CCCCAAAACCCCAAAACCCCAAAACCCCAAAACCCCAAAACCCCATACTTTATTCAACAGATTGAATTCAAATCCAAACGTGATTAATTGATTAAAATTTTATTTAGCTTACAAATTTGGTTGAAGTTTATGATAAGTAATTTTTCTTGTGTTTTTATTGGATAAACAGATAAAGTAGAGTGATATAGCAAATTCACCGTCTTTCTAATCTTTGAAATTTTTTAATAGTGCAAATCTTAATTTTCAGATTTTAGGTTAGGTCTGATTTAAATATTTTCTATCACATCCAGAAAGCAAAATTCAACTCTAAAACAAAGCCTCAAGGATAAAACCTTTTCTCCAAGCCACACCAAAGACCAATCCCTCTACAACTCACTCCACACCTAAACTACCAACCCGCTACCTCCAAGCCCAACAAAACCCTCTAAAAACCTCCCAATTTCCTAAAATTCCCCTTAAAATTCCAAAACACCTATCTCTCCAAACAACCCTTCAGACATCACCAGGCCTAAAATCCCACCCAAATCCCTAGTCCCACCAAAGCTAACAACGAATATCTCAGGAATAAGTTACAGGCATTATCCCGAATAGTGAGCAACTCCTGCAGGCTGAAACCGGCTTGGATACAGACCTCAAAGAAGACTTGAGGGTGGATAACTTAGCAATTTATTTCGACCCTTTCGAAGTGGTTCTCAGTGAAGATTTCCTCAGCTGTGTTGGATTCTATCTGGCATCCTCGGAGATAAATTGCTTTGAGACTTAGTTTTAGATCTGGAGAGAAGGATAATCCTTGTACTAAGTTCTTGAATTCGTGAAGATTGGTTTTCCAATCACTCAAATATGATTTTCCTGATTCGTTAAAGTTTAGTCTTTTGATCTTCACATTTTGAAGTGCTTTTGAGAAATTAGGAGCTTTTGGGACGGATAATTTACAGCTCACCAAGGATAACGATGTCACATGCTTGCAAGATGTAATCAATCTTTTAAGTTGGCGTTCATTAAATCTGAACCCTTTAAACACGATGCTTTCGGTGATTTTATAGTTTCATCTGATGAATGAGCTGAAGACACGAAAATTATTCAGTCTTATTTGACTTTGAGATCATGCCAAAAAGCAATTGGCTTTACTTGGAAATGAAAAATCTACAAAATTGAAGATATGCTTATTAAAGTCTTTGATATTATGAAAAATCAGTCTATTAATATCAAAAAAATGCAAATGTCTTAACTTGCGGGCAAATTTCTCATCATTTTGTTCTCCAATCCAAAAGTGGAAAACGTTATATCCAAGTTTTCTCCCCAGTTCGGACTCCAACGGTCGAGAATAAATGTTTTTTGCATAAATATTTTTATGGATATCATTCCATCAGTTGTATTCTTGCTGCTTGCATTGAGCTAATGTGGATTTTTCAATGCTATAGAATTAGTAAGCTGGTTGCCAATGTTTTTGAAAGGAACTTTTATTAATCCTAAGAAGGCTAGGTTAAATTACGCTGCAATTCGTGGGAGCTGGAGGGTGTCTGGGTGGTCTCAAATATCCATTTTAAATTGTAATTTGTATAATTTTTCAAAGAATTAGGAAGCTGGTGGGGTTTTGGGGTTTTGGGGTTTTGGGG